GCTAACCTTGCTCGAGGCGACTTCTGGCGTGGAGGACAGGAAGGCGGGTGGGGAGGCGGTTATTTCTTGGAGGGAGAATTCCCCTCCCTACAGGAAGCCCCGAACACCTGTCACGGGGGGGGAAATGGCCGCGGATCCTGTTCGTCACCTGATCCGGTGTTCGCGAACGGAAGCAAACTTTTGCGAATGGTGCTGTTCGTGAACCGAATTGGTTGTGAACAGAAGAGTTTGTGAACCGAGGTACCACTGTACTACTGGATAGAGCACTTTTGCAGACTTCCAGAAGAAAGTGTAATATGCACACTGATTCCTGCTCCTCTTCTTCTTGGGAAAAAGTAAATTTGAAGAATTGGAGCCAGATCTAAGGGGACCTCATCTACAGAAATATAAATATATCAGAGCTGATACCTTACCACAGAGTTGTCAGGCTACAGGTAGTGTTTTGATTTTTAATGGATTAATGTATTATTCATTAGAGGTTTTATACACTGCTTCTCATTACAAAAATTTCAAAGCAGAGTGAAGTACAAATCTAAACATCTGACTCCTAACTCATTTCTGTCTTGCACACTGAAGCTTGAAGGGCAAGAACATTTGGAATTGGCCCAATACAGTGTTCCTTAAACTTTTTTGCTCTCAGGACCCCTCCCCCTTTTAAAAATTGAGGACCCCAAAACAGCATTTGTATGGGTTATATTTACTGATATTTACCATATTCAAAATTAAAACTGATGCATTCATTTATTTTATTTATTTATTGAATCAGGTAAAAAAATATTAAACCCATTAGATATTAACATAATAAAATGTTTTTCATAAAAAATATTTTTTAACAAATAAAAAATAATAATAATAAGAGTGACATTATTTCAAATGTTTGCAAATATCTTCAATATCTGGCAAATAATTTTGGCTTTGCAGACCCCTGAGAGGGACTTGGGGGACCCCCAGGGGTCCCTGGATCTCACTTAAACACTGGCCGAATATATAGGCTAATCAACTAGAAACAATCTGGTAGAAAAGCCACACCCTCCACTCCACAATTTACAAAAAGCCTTGTACTCTATCAGCTATGAAAACAGCTAGGCTCCTAAGCCAATAAGTGTCCCTTCTTACCTGCCGCCTTCTCTCCTCTGCCAGCTTCTGCTGCTGCACCTCCTCCTCCTTTCTCCTCTTCTTCTCTCGCTCTTCCTTTTTCTTGCGTTCTTTCTCCTGATCTGCCCTTAAGGAAGCTAGGTATGCCTCATCCTGTTGCTGCCTTAGGACCTGAGTTTGGTTTCGTTCTTCTCTAATATAGAAAGGGAAATTTGTTCTAATTAACCAAGTTTGCTTTAAAAAAAAAAATTTAGAAATTCCAGAATAGCAATTTATAACTACTTAAATAGGAAGATGCATTTAGAATTAGGACCACTGACAACTTCTTTTCTATTATGACTCGAGTACATATATGGTTGCCCTTTATAAGACAGCAATATCTTCAAATTTGAGCATCCCACCTAGTGGCAGCTACTTTCTTTGCCAGTAAAAATGAAGAGCTCTCTGAACAGAGCTGAATGCTTCAAACGGGTGATCTAGGTATATGAAAGATAAAAAACATATCAGGAGGAGGAGGAGGAGGAGGCGTGCTTTTTCCTTCTCTTCAACCAAAAATCTATTTTGCCCAAATCTAAATCCACAAATCATTGAGTCTAGAACTGAACTGTTCCAAAGAATCTAAAATTCCATTGGATTTAGTACCTGGAATCTATGTTTGGGGCTGATGAAGGGATTAAAGCAGGGGTAAGTAACTTTTCAACAGCAGGAGGCGACACTGCCACTCTTCCCCTCTCTCCCCACCTCATTTTGGGTTGCAAGGGCCACAGTGGACAAGACTATGATTTCCAGAGTCAGGGTGACAGATAAATGTCAAAACTTAATGAATAATTGCAGCCCATATTCTTTTTGGTTTGGTGTAAATATACCATAGCAATAAATGGTATTAGCTCTCAGTGCTTTGCTGCCAAAATCTCTTTCAATCCCTTATATCCTACCTCCTGTAGTATATCCTGTCATAGCATATAATCTATTAGTAAAGTGCATAAACATTAATTGGGCTATGAAGTAGATAAATAAAGTTGAATAGTGTAAATTTCTGATATCATGGGACATTAGATATCCTGTATCACACTGACCAAGGTCCTCAGATTTCACAATGCCTGAGTTCATACTTCCCTTTAAACCATGATGTGATTTGCCAGTTTTCACTTACTGTGCTGGGTTCAATTCACCCAGATCATGTTTTATTACTTAGTGTGTTATACGTATCGATCAAACTGTGTCTTACTAAGCAATCTATAATTAAAACAACCATAACCCAACCCTTAATATGCTGTATGAATCTAGTTAATCTCATATTTTAGGTGGCTGAGAACAGACCAAATCAGAAAAGAATGTAATATGAAGGGAGATTTCTATGTAAAATGCCTTGAGTTCCTGGAGAAATGATGAGATATATTATTTGATTTGTTAGAAACATTATAACCATCATCCTCCATGTTTGATCCAACATTAAAATATTTTGAAATAAAACTAAGGAGAAAAATGGCATGTTTTTTCCGCTTAATACCTTTCCAGGCGCTCAGACACCAAGTACGTCTGATTGGAATCCATAATAAATGTCAACTGGTTAATGAGGTCATCAGGTTGGATAAGTCCTTCTAACCTTCCAACCACAGTCATTCTACGATCTTTCAGCATGATCATTGCCAAGAAAGGGTAGGTGTTCTCACGTAAAGCCTGAGACACTGAGAAAAATATATAAAGCACTGTCATATTTGCAGCTTTAGAACACAAGCCATAATTTAACATTTAAACTGAGCTAGATTATTTTGTCTCTCAAGTCTTACTAATAGCTACCCTGGCAGGTTTCAGAGAAGACCCTTCCCTATTTCTGTTGTTAAAAGTTTCTTGTAATTCAAAATCACAGAGATTCAGGTGTGATCTTTGTTCAAATACTCCTTATCACAGAGCTATGATTCTATTCCATAATGGACTGTAAAAACATTTGTTCCAATTCTAAGCTCCCACATTTATTGCCACTCTATGAGGGAACTGCTTCTTTTGTTGTAATCTAAAAGCATACAAAATAGTATAGTTTATATCAAACGCTGGAGTATCAGGAACATGGCCATACAAATCTCAAAAGGTAGGAATTTCAGAGTTTGAATGCCCAGGTCTGGTTTCTCATGGCAAACAATCTGTACTTCAGTGAGCTGCAAGACCCAGAGTAGAACTTTCCTAAAAGATCCAAGTGGCCAGATAGGAGCATACAAAACAACCTGGATATTTAACTATCTGACTCTTAAAACTTGTTTTCAAAAAGCAATCATCAGAAGCAGTAACAGTCAAAGTACTTGCCTTCAGTTACTTGCAGACAAAATTCTGCCATATTATGCATTGCAGTATTCTTTGAAGGCAGACTTTAAGGTCTGAATAAGGGTTGCTGTAATATCTATCTTTTAGATAACATATTGCTCTTGCTTAGGAAGCCTAATTTATTCAAAACATTTTTGGCAAAGCTTCATCTGATAATCCAGGAGCATTAGATATGCAACTTCATTTTTTTTTGAAGGAAAGACAACTATACAGAACACAGCTATATCATGTTGCTTTCCTTATTATCAATACTACTTATCTGAATTTAATCATACACTGTATGTGAATTCACGTACGGATCTTCACCATTCCTAAACAGTTCGTTTCTTTGAACTTGGAAAAAGGACAATAAAATTGGATATCATCAGCAAATTCAGTACCAAATCTCTGCATAATCTATTCCTGTATTTTGTAGACACTGGAGAATATATTGTGCACTTGAACATCATATTAAGATCAAGTTAATATACATTGTTTGGCTCTTTCTGTTAATGGAAGTGGCTAACCAAATCTACATGGTCTGCCTGTGCTTGTTCAAAATTGCTAACCGGGAATCTAGACTTATTTCTCCACTAGTAAGCCAGAGTTATAAATCATAAATCAATTAAAATGACTTCCTAAGAGAGAAACAAGCCAGTACTCCAGTTAATGTATAATGTGTTTTTCCCCAAAGTGGCTAAACATGAAGCATGTGTGCAGTAACATAATGCTCCCAATATATGTGGTAGAATATCTCAGATTAATAGTAGTAGCCCTAAACAGCTTATATACCTTATACATGTATTAGTGGCAAGGTGGGTGGACTCGGGGCAATGGGTGCACTGATGGAACATTTGAAGGACTAGGTTGAGGACAGAATGTCTTGGAGAAAATCTATGTGATCACTAAGAGTTGACATTTGATGGCACATAATGAATGATTCCCCCTTCATGGATCACTGCCTTGTCGTGGCGAAGGGGCTTGCGTAACTCAGTGAAG